CACGACGGACGCAAGCATGCGTATAATTAAAGGGGTATTTTTTTAATTTAATTAAAATTATTACTAAATTATTACTTTGATGGCTTTGCGGTATGTGGTGGAGAAGAGAGGGAGAGGGAGAGTGAAGAAGCCTTCGATGACGAGAAGATACTCTTTCCTTAGTCTCTCACTCCACTCCCCTGGATCAAAGCTCATCATCTGCTTCACCGTCAGCTCGAATGTTATCTGCAAAATCGATACATACACTCTTATATATATATATCTTCATTACATTCACACATATGTATTAACACTTTTTTGAGAAACAGAGGACATAACACACGAGCCCCCGTCTCTCTCCGACCGGACCAGAGAGATCAAGAGATCGGACTGTGTATTGTTCGTTTAAAGTGTCTCCGCCTTCGACGACTCTTTGCATGCGACCCCACCGCACGGGGTCGACTCGGTCCGACGACTCACTGAGTCATGAACTCGGTGCGAATTTTTTTAAGAAAAAAAAACAGAGATCGAAAGTGGGTTTACTTTGCTCTATCGACCCATTTGATACGACAAAACAGCAAGAGAAAAAAGGTGGGTGCTTTAACCTTCTTGGCTTCCTCCATGAGAAGAATACGACCGGTCCAAGAATCCATATTAAACCGGACTAACCGGTCGATGTCGACCATGAGATGGTCCTTGATAATCGACGAATTAGCGAAGCTCATGGTTAGAGAATGCATCCGTTTGTGCAGTCCGCCTTTCATCAGAAGCAAAGAGTGTTTCCCCAGCAAGTTACATATCGACGCCGGGTACGAAGACTCGAACAGTTTCCCTTCGTTCTGCAGCACGAACCGGTTCGTCTCCGGGTCCGCCGAGAAAACCGTCGGTTCTCCGAACACGTGTGTCGTGAAAACCGGTCCGAACCGCTTTACCCTCTCGTCGATGAACGGCTCGGGGTTCTCCGTCTTGTAGGCTCCGATCAGCTGCAGCGTCTCTCCGATCAACGGCAGTCCAAGATTCCCCGGTGGCAGCCCCAGTCGCCGGTAACGGACGCGTCGGAGGATGACGAAGATGACGGAGGCTGCGGCGGCGGCGAGGATGGTGGCCGCCGTGGAGACGGCGGAGGAGAAAGATGTCGTTGTCGGCGACGCCATTGGGTTGCCGGTGAGAAGGTGTACCATGTGTAGAGAGATGTGTGTGTATATATAAATATATACACGGAGGCGGAGATACAGAGTATATATGTAGAGGTGTATGTAGAGGTGTGAGTTGTTAAAGAGGATAGGGAGAGAGAGGTGTGGGAGTATTAATGGAGGAGAGGGTGGGCACACACACACGGGGGGGTTTCTGCAACCAAAATAAAGTATGTCCCTTTCATCATTATAGAATTTTACACTATTTCTTTTTCTTTTTCTTCTAAAGTTTGATTTTTTTTTTCCCATTTTATTACGAAATGAAATTATATTTTAGAGATTATCTATCTATTACACCAATATTTAAAATAGGTTCTTGTATGGTTTGTCTAAATCTAGTAATATATACATGTGTTTTTAATATGATTATATATGATGAGTTATATAATAAATCTTTGATAACGAAATAATAATAGAAATGTATTTATATTAAAATTTATTGATGGCCGAAACCTTCCGTCATTCATTTAATTTTTTTGCTGAAATTATAAGCATCCAAGGCAATATTGGGAAATGGTACAAAATTATATATTATTCATCATAATGCATTAAATATGTACTCGTAGGAAACATAAAGACAACAAAATCTAAATAAGATTGCGGAAGATTTGTTTTAATTACACTACAGATTACTTGCATTGAAAATTTAAAATTTCAAAACTCAGAAAATATGAGAAAAAGAAATTCCCAAATATTCACACTTCAACCTAAAAACGCAATGATATTGAAAAATGTTATAAATTCTGTGGGTTTAAAACTATTTAAAAATTACAATGTTTAAATAAAATTACAGCTACGCTGAAAAATTATTAATTTAATATTAAATTTAAAATTAAAACACATAAAAATCATAACAAACCATATCTTTGTATTTATCTGCGGATCTTCCACGTAAACGCAGTAATGGTGGAAACTAAGAACGTGTTTAGGAAAAAAAAAACAAAAGAAAAAGAAAATGTGTAAGACATTATTATGAAAATGTGAAAACACGATTATGAATTATAAATTTACTACACAGAGATTTTAGCGAAAACCATAATTTTAATAATCAAAACACGAAACATAATTATGATTTATAATAAATTCGCTACCAAATGTCAAAGCAAAAAGAATTTCGCGATTAGCGACGTTTTCTCATCGTTTTTTTTTCTTTCTATTTTTAATATTTTTTTAAATATTTTGGGGGCATTTTCAGCTTGGCAAAGTAATGAATGGAATGGGAAAAAAACATTTTTCGATTTCTATATTTCACTAACTTAGCTTTATGGCTACTCAAAAAAAAAAGGATCATAAGAAGGATGGAGCATGTGCATCGTTGGTCCACATTTTGCATATGAACATTTCACATGATCTTTTTATTATTATTATTATTACTTAAATACAAAGTTAGATCTATTCATTTCCATTAAAATTAAAACTATTGTTTTTTTTAGTATTTAATGATTTGAACTTTTCTGCGCTAATTAATTGATAATTCCATACATTGTGTCTGTAGATGTGATTTTAGATTAGATTTGATTCCTTATAACCTTTTGAAAGATGTTTTTGTATTATACATTTAATATTGTTATAAAAAAATAAATATGAATGTGTATTTCATAATTTGATTATAAAATTTCTATTATTTTGTTTTTATTTACTAAAAACGTATTCAATTGACTTTTTTTTTATTTTTATTTCGATTTGAATTATATTACGATTCGACTATAACTTAAGTTGCATTAATAAAAATATTTATTAAAAAAACAAATCGTTAGCGTTCGATTTTTTTAAGTTATTCTATATTTATTTCATTTACAATTAATAATGTTTTAAAAAAAATATATGTAATCAACTTTTAAATTATATCCATGCCAAATATAGTTAGTTATATGTCATTAGGTTAAATGTTCTATACCATAAAAATAAATTAAAGTAAAGGGTTCAAGTATATATTTTTTGTATTTAATTAGGTTTGTGGTACCATCTATAATTTCAATTTCTCAACACATTTATTCTGAAAAATAAGTTAAAAGAACAATACTTATATATCAAATTTTGGTCTATAGTATTCATTTTCCGGGCAAAGTATATAGAAATATGAAATGTGTATATGAAATTCTGTGCCCGTGGGGTTGAGTTGCTGTTAAACATATCACATAGAAAAAAAAAGTAATAAAAATTTTAAAAAAAATCGGAAAAACAATTTTTATTTATTTATTTATAATAAAAGGAGAATTAATTTATAGTCAATGACAAGGGACATGGAGAAGAAGAGCAAAAGCGAAGAGGCTACGTCCATAGGAATATTGATGAGATGACCTTCACTTCCCCTTAGAGAGAGAGAGAGAGAGACAGAGAGAGAGAGACAGAGAGAGAGAGAGAGAGAGAGAGAGAGAGAGAGAATTGAGTCCTTTGCATTAATAAACCATCTTCTCTCTCTCTCTCTCTCTCTCTCTCTCTCTCTCTCTCTCTCTCTCTCTCTCTCTCTCGTAATCTTTCTAAATTTATAAACGACATTATAAATTAAGTTTTCTAATATCTTAATTTCTTTAACTTGATAAATTCAATCCCTTCGTATTTCCATTTTTTTTACTAACAAACTTTAACGCAAATGTTTCCTTACTTTTCAAATTAAACAAAAACTTTTTTTATTTTGTATAGAAAATTAGTTATGAGATTACGTTTAGTTTAGTATTTTAAGATTTGATTTATAATTTCTCGATAAAAATAATATATATATATATACAATTACAAATATCTAAATGCTGTAATAAGTGATTTTGATATAAAAATAAATTGATTTTTAGACTAATAATACACTAAAACAGTAATCAAATAAAAGGATAATATATAAATTTGTAAAAAAATTATCTTATAGTTAATTTGAATATATGTATATCGAGGGGATAACAAATCTTCCAAATAAACTTTTTGCTCAGAAAATAAAAATAATATCTACGAAATGTTATGAAAGCGAAGTCATCGTAATCCAATGTTCAACTCGATGCTTTTTATTTTTTTTATTTAAAATAAATAATAATCTGATACATTGCCACGTCTTCTCGCCCATTAATCTCCATGATTACAAAGTTAACAGAAAATTAATTAAAATAAATGCTCCATCTTTACGGATAACAATCCTATAATATTAATATTTTGAGGTATTAGCCACATAGAGAGTATGCATGAGTCAAAAAAATATTTCATCATATGCATTCATTGATTTTACTATGTATATACACACACCATATTTTATACGATATTAAAATTTATGTATAAGATAAAAAAAATAGACCTTTTTGCATTTTATTTCATTAATTTAGGTCATGGGTTGGATCGTTATTAAAATAAAAAATTAAATTCAAAAATCTTTTTATATAATGTTTTTAAACATAAATATTACTCTGACTTTGAATATGTATATTCGATTATAAAAATTTGGGCATTTTAGAAATCAACTCTATCACAAACCTAACCCTTAGGTCACCCAACCACACGACTAATTCATTTATAAATTCTGTTGCGTATTGATTCAACTTAACATAATAAATAAGAAAGTGACGAACAATTTATTGGACCGTATTATTTTTAATGTAGTAAATAAACATTCATTGGGGGCAAATACAATACTGTATATATATGTGTGTGTATACACACACTAAAAAAGTATTGTAAACGATATCAAATTATATTGGGATTTGGTTTTTAGAAATTTGAAGATATAAATAAGAAGCTATTTCGGTTTATCCTTCTAATACGTATTAGTAAATTCGATTTGACACGTAAGCAATCGAATTTTTAAAAATTCGATCATGTCACAAACACACGCATATATAATATATATTGTGTATATACTACGAAGGATATATGTGATTTGACAAAACACGAGACCCATGATACCCACAATCAAACCATATTGAAATCCACGTGTGAAATGACAGTCTATATTGGCTTAAGTCCAAAAATATTTTAGATGTTTCTCCCTTGTTGTCTTTCTAAGATCCCACGCATTTTGCAGTCATCAATCACGACCCGTATGCACATTATTATTATTATTTTATAAGAACATTATTATTATTATTATTATTATTATTAACGACAAATCTCTCACTTATCAAATCTGCAACTGGATTTCTCATGTACCCGACAAAGATCTTATCCGTAATCCGATACATGTCACCGCTAGAGGCTTCTAAACGCGAACGTAACCCATAAAAGCAATAGGATCGTAGGTTATGCGTAAAATATTAAAAATTGTAATTGTTTTTGTTAGAAATAAAAACATTTTAGAGAATCGCTTTATATTTTGGATATAAATGATATCATTTTTTCCTTAAAAAACTTTAGATCGGTTCCATTAATAAATAACGTGCACCTAAATTTAATATAAAGGAATTTAACCACGGTAAATATAAACGAAATCCAACAATACCGTATTATATATTTATTTTTAAATCTGGTTGGTTAGTGGGACTACAAAATTAAGAAGCTAATTAATATAAATATTTTAGTGGAATATCCATTTTACTTACATTTCTATTTCGTAGCATCCATATTCGAAGACAATACTATCCAAATATAAAAGTACAAGCGAATATATATATATATATATATATACCACATTTGAAGATGTATCAATCATACATGCACTATAAATAATTTAAACGGATTTCATAAAAAAAATATTTATACGGATAATCATATAGTCGGCGTTGGTCCATTGTTAATTTGTATCAGTTACATTCGTTGGACCACATTGATCTGATAAAATCTTGTATACTATTAGGGCTTAAATCTGTGACCCAATAATATCCCAAAGATTCCAAACTCTATATTCTTTTACGAAAATAAAATACATAATTTAATAACAACAACAGTTGTTAATATGTCAATTACCATAATTTATAACAATATATATCAGCAGAGAGAGAAAATTAAAACATTTTTAGAACACAATTAGCATGATACATGCATGATATAACGCATGTGATAATGTTTTTTTTTTTTAAGAATAATCAACGAACCATAGTTTGGAATAAATAACTATCACTTAATATATATATATATAGAAATTACAATAATTTCAAAATGGAATTGTCAAAGATAGAATACAAGTTGGATATTTTTTTTCACTTACTGCTGCTTTTAGATCACATACTTGAAGTCAAGTGACGTATGGCCACGTCGCAAAGCATTTGATCCACCGGCGGCCTCCTACGCATTAAATCGTAGGAGGCCTTACCATTTTGATTATTTAAATATAATATAACCAAATTTAATTTATTATATAACTTGTTGGGATAGCAAAATTTGAAAAATGTAATTTTTTAATTATTATATATAAAAATAAAAAATATTTTTATTAATAAAAAATATATCATAATCAATTGCAATATATAAAAATGCGATGTTATATTTTTTTACCAGGGGTAAAAAAAATATCTCAATTGAACCAATCCAAAATGGCAACCTTATTTATTTGTGTTTTCACAATAAATATACAGTTTAAAATTTGATTAATATTTAACGAATACATTAAAGACCAAACCCCATCACACGATAGCTAATTGAGCATATAGAAAAAAATGATATTTAAATAATTTTATAGAGGGGCAAATTGGGAGTGAGAACAATATATTCCAATTGCCAAACACTCGGTAGAAGACAAAACTCCGAAATGCCAATATTTTAACCGCATGACTCTTGTTTTGATTCATTCTCTTTCGCTGGTGAAAACATATATGTCTTTTTTAAAATTTTTATTTTATTCTGTCAGTAAAAACTTTATTGTAAAAAAAAAAGGAGAGAGAAAGACGAGGGTCAAAGAGTCAGAGAAGGCACTGCAAAAAGGCCACACGTGTGAAAGACACCACACTTCTCAATGTCTCTCTCACTCGTGTGCGTTTTGTAGGGTAACTCTTTCTGTCAGTCTTTCACGTGCGCACTTTCTCATCCTATTTTTCCATTTTATTTTCATCTATTTTTTTTAAATCAAACCAAAAGAAAACACCATACAAAAATATTCTTTCTTTTTTTTTTTGGTTGAATGTAAATTAATAGATACAAGAATTAAGAATATTCAATGCATTCATGTTTGCATTTTTTTTATTTGAATCTAAATTTTTAGTTCATTTAAAAAAAACGCAAGAAATAAGAAAAGTGACTTCTGAATGTGTGTGTGTGTGTGTCATAACATATAGAATTCAAACCATATTTTTATATTTTTAAGATAAAATTCAATTTTATGTCAAGATGATAAAAAGTAATTTATGTGGCTTCAATTTTGCATCCCTGTTTCTGCCGCTGTTGATTTGTGTTGGATCCATCATATTGTCTTTTGTTTTTCAAATTTAAAAATAAAATAAAATGTGTTTCCAAATTTATGTAGAAGCCCAAATAATAAAAAGAGGAAAAGGTCCATTACGTTGAAAATTATATACCATCATGAATTTTTTTTTGTTGCCGGCCCATCTTCTAGCATATAGTTTTGTGATGGAATAAAAAAACATAATTAGTTTAAAAGGAAAATCGTCAAAAAAAATTCCACGTACTTTTTTATTATTAAAAAAATTTTATACTTAGATTTACTTTATAAAATGTAACAAATAAATCCTAGCCAAAAAATACAATCAAGAAACTGATGTAGTAATATTTTAATAAATAAATATATATAAGTTAATAAATTATTAATAAAAATAAAAATAACAATATAATAATAATAATAGTAATAAATAAATAATTGTATATATATATATAAATATATGTGTATATGTATATGTATCGAATATTTAAAAATTTTAAACTCGGAATGAGATTTCACAGATAAATGTTAAAGAAAAGTTGAAAAACTATCTTTTAAAAAATAATTATATGTGAATCAGAATCGAATTTAAAATTCACGCTTTCAAAATCAATTATCCGCCAACACCTCAATAAATAAGAAAATAACTAAAATATTTTTGACTTTTTTTTTAAATAAATATTACAAATATATCTTTGATATCTTCAAGTTTTGTAATCTTAAGCAAAAATATGCATCTCTAATGATTTAGGTTAAAAATAAAACTTTGTCCGAAAACTTTAATTGGGAAATTTTTTCTCCAATTTTTAAAACTCAAATATCTAAATCCTATATATATTGAATCCAATTCCAAAATATTTACTTCTAGTTCTAGACATATTTATTTTTCATACAATTATTTTAGCGTATCCAATTAAATATAATAATATATGGAGAAAAAAAGGGGGCAAAAAAAAAAGAGAAAAAGAAAAAAGCCGGGGGGTGAATTTGTCCGGTCCACGTTTCTCCCAACCAGAAGACGAGAGAAAGGTCAGTTTTTTTAGTCATTGAAATCGCAGTTTCGATTCTCTCCGTATTCCATCGTTTCTTCCCCGAATCCGTTTGCCCTTGCGATTTCGGAAAGATCCTCACGTTCTTCTTCCGTTGTTAATCAGACCAAACAGTTAGATGAATTTGGATCGGAACCGTCCCAACTTGAGTTTCATTTAGATTTTTTTTTCCTGTTTTTGTTCTTTCGATCGCTTGAAGATCGTGTCTTTTTTTTTAAAGAGCATGGGGAGGTTGTTCTTGCTGAATTTGGAAGGGAAGATTTACTGTTGCAAGCACTGTAAGACGCATCTCGCTGTCTGTGAAGATGTCGTCTCAAAGGTTCAATCTTTTCTCTCCCTTTTTTTACAGTTTTCTTTTCTGGTTCCGAAATTTAGCGGTTCTGCTGCGAAATCTGAATCTGGGTACTGTGTATATATATCTCTATGATCAAATCATGTGTGTGTTTTAGCTATTCTTTGTGTTGACATCATTATTCTGATTGATCGTCTCTTATTGTTCAAGGTTGAAGCTTGAGATGTTGTAATGTAGCCTGGATAATAAGTTGATTGGAATCTTGTTGCTTTTGCATTACAAATGGATGAAGTTTTTTTTTTGTAATGATTTCTGAAAAACCCATGAACCGTTGCTAATACTAACTTCAGAGAAGCCTGATAATGGATTCATTCATGTTCAGTCAAAGGGATGAGGAACAGAGATATAGCTCTTGGAATCATCGTGGCATTCTCATTGTGTTCGGTCTTGTTGTTTGAGTTATCGAATGAGATTTGGTTGCGGTTAAATGTTCGATGCATCATGTTTCCAAGGACTGTTTTAGTCGATCTAGGTTGAGTTTTAAGTTTTATGGGACCTTTCATAATGTTGTTGACTCATAAACATAATGTATGCGCCCATAAATTTGTGCCTGTGATGTGTTTTTGAATCTTTGGAACTAGTTTCAGAATGCGTCTGTCTATACTGAGGCAGACTTTGTGAGGGTTTCATGTTTCTATTTGTAAAAGTACCAAAAAGTTTTTATTTTTCTTGGTAATTTTGCATGATCTTTAGCTATGGAACTTCAAATTTCTAGCATGCTCTGTTTTGTTCGTGCTCGTAAGAATGTAGGCGCCTTATACATCACGTTTGCATTTAGATTATAGGTATACAAGTAAATATTTTGTCTTCGGCATTTGCGTAAACCTAATGGGGTTACATAAGAAGACACTGACATCTTGTTGTTTTGAGTTACAGTCCTTTCAGTGCAGACATGGTAAAGCTTATCTCTTTAATAAGGTGTAAGTTTTCTTATCCGGGTCTCATTCGGGTTTTGTCGGTAGTATTCAGAACCTATACATTTTTTTTCTTCTCTTTAACCCGTTGTTGATGATGATGATGATGATGAAAGCTAGTTAAGTTTATCCTTTTTCACTTTTTACTGCTGTACTGCTTCTGTTTTGACAGTGTGAATGTCTGTCCTGGAGAGAAGGAAGACAGGATGATGATGACCGGCTTGCACACAGTGGCTGATATTTACTGCATCAAATGCGGATCTTACTTGGGATGGAAATATGTAAAACACTTCATAGTCGAATCTCGATCGAAAACTATTGTGGCTTTGTTTGTTAATCACATCCTCCCTATTATATTGCAGGAGGTTGCTTATGAGAAGAGCCAGAAGTACAAGGAAGGAAAATCAGTTCTTGAACGGTCAGTACAATGAAACATAATCTATCTGTTAGAGGTTGTATACAGCTCTGAGACGTCGGGTTTCGCATTCTGAGGCCGTTATCTTAGTGAAAACATATGTGGGCAGGTTCAAGGTATCGGGACCGGAAGGGAGCAACAATAACTGGGTGGCTCATGAAGCCGGTGCAAGTGATCCAGAGGATGATTGATTATTGATGGGATTTTGGGTTTTTGGGTCTGCACCATCTTCTGAATCTGAATTGTACATTCTCCTTCATCTCCTTTCTTAGTTCTTGCTGATGTGTAAGGATGAAAGCTTATCCTTGGATCATCATTCATCCTTATTTTGGACAGAGCTGTATGTATATATACATGATATTTCTGTCTTTATAACCTAAAGATTCTGATTCATCAGAAACATTTTTTTGTTTGTTTCACTTTCAGACAGTGGCTCTGACAAGTTCTGTTTTGTGTTTCAGAAGTATTACTGAATTATTCTATAACACCAGTATGCTGTTGATGTCACACACACACACACACATATATACATATATGAATATATAATACATGAATATTTTTACTTCATATGAAAGCATAACATAAAATCAGCTGAATCAGATGATAATTTTGTCTGTCACAATTTGAAAGATGCTTAATGAGAGGCTCACGCAACAAAGAGAACAGGATAACTGTCTGTAAATTATTATTATTACATCTTTTATTTAGTTTGAACTCAATGGTACTGTCTTAAGCTTACCGGAGCTCATATGCCATTCTCTCAGAAAGCTCAGTTCCCACAACCTTTTTGTAGCTATGCAACCTTGGCTCTAAGTGCCTCCGACCAACAGGATTCATCATCGGTTTTAACTCCTTCAAGAACGATTTTTCAACATGACAGGTGCAAATCAAAGACCCATTTTAAACGTCGTACCCGGCAAAATCCAGACTAGTTCATATAATCGATATAAAATCGTTAAGAAAAAAGGGTATAACATACCTTGTATCTGAAACGAGATTCACTGAGACCGATAAGAATGTTGCTAATGTCGTTATCTTCGGCTGAGGAAGGAAATGTATTGTTTTCAGGGTCTGAGTCACTATCAGAGTCTTCTAACTCGGCTTCATCCATTTCTTCATCTTCTTCACCGTTATCCAGAAAACGGTCCCTTGTCTCCCCTGGTTCCACGTCTTGATGTTCACACATAGATTCCACGAGAGTTTCGGAAGTAAGAGGTAGTAAAGAATCCTGACATCGTGAATTGGTGTAATCTGAAAGGATGACATAGCGTTTTTTATCGAGTAGGGGCCTTGCAATTTCATATGGCACCCACCTGAAAAACAAAAACTCTTTTAGATCAACATTAAACCAATTCTGATTGCTACCAAGGCCATAAAAGGATTAAACTAATTTGAAATTAGCACCGTGACACAGAACAGGAAGATATAAAATCCGGTCCCTAGATGTCAAGGTTAACGGAACCATGGCAGATTATAGTTTCTTTAACTAGTTCCATTTTTTCCACCTCATTATTTCCATGGCAACATCATTCAACCGAGGTCACAGTTGTTTTGCTTCTATGGAACAGCCTATATCTAACAAAGGTAGCTCCTATGTCTTTTTGCTCATTAGAGATTTCATAAAACTAACTTTACTATAACAGATCGAAGCTATACGTCCATTCTAAATCAACCAACTACTAACTACTACAGTGATCAGCCAAAACATACAGCGTGATAGCCATGAACCATAAACATTAAAGGCGGGTAAGTAACAAAAACCGGTGGCATCACGTCAGTTTGGATGGAAACTTACTGGTAACGGAGAGGGCATAGAAGCTCAGAGGGATGATAGGCCGCTTTATATCTCATCTTGCTGCAGGAATGTATATAGTAGCCAAGATAATAATACTGAAGAGTAGGACAGGGGGCCTCATTTTCTTTGATCCAATTAATTTCTTGTAAGGCAGAATACTTCCCAACAGACAAGAACGCATAGTCCGGATCCCAGAATAGGTATTTGCTGGACAAACACTTGGGAAGGATGTCTATCACACCTACAGCAATTAGACGGCCATCAACTCGATATTGCTGATGGAAAGAGCCAAATCCACAAGGAGGAACCTTGTCATCACCAGAAGGTGGAACCTCTATCAATGGAGTGTCAACCAGAAATCTCCTGTATGAACTCTCTGTGATGTGCTCTGGCTTATCATTATGCACTCTCAGCTGATATCGTTTGTATAACTCGTGTTCCTCCGGATCAAAACTGGATCTTTTTAAAAGTATCTCCAGCTTCCGCTTTCTTGTCTGAGGACTTTTCGAGGACTTTGTAGCACATAGACTTTTATCATCACACAGAGAATTGGCTCCTTTGGAGATGGTACCAAATGGAACATCTCTATCGAAAGAAGAAACTTTTGAAGCTGCAAAAAAGTTGATATGACCTTTGCAGGCCTTAACAGAGACACCAGGAATTTCTCCCAGCTGATTCATGGCTTGTGCCAACTTCTCGGAGATAATCGCAGGTGATAATCTATTCTCTTCACCACTGTTTCTCTCCTCTTTCTCAGATGCCTGAGTGCATTTTATAGCAGCTGCTATCTGGAATGCAATGTTGCTGGTATATAAAAGTTCTTCTGGACCTTCAGCCAGTTGCTTCATTTTAGCAGCCAAAACCTTCTTTACGGAAGCTTTTGGTACCTGAATATAGGAAGGAAACTCCCCACTTTGTACGCATATCTGTACAGAATTATCAATTTGCTCAGACAAATCATTCATAATTGGTTCTACTTTACTATTTTCTCCCTTCTTAACAGCCATGAGTTTTTTTCTTGACGAATCTGAAATTTCACTGGGGGACGAAGTGCTTGGATCTTCTGTTTGATCTCTGGGTTTTGCATCTAGTTGGCCATCCAAGAACCTTCAAAGACACCATTGCAACAGACAAATAAGAAAGTAAAGATGTTCTGCAGTGGCTGCAGAGACTGATTTTGTAGAAGTTAAATGAAGTTTGAGAACAAAATAGCTGACAAGATAAGAAAAACCAATGGAGTTCTACAAGATATTCAAAAGGAAAAAGGGAAAGTTTGCAACTCAGCGGACAGAACAAAAGTTTATCAAAACTTTCAACTATTGATTCAAGGGAAAGGAAAGGAAAGGAAGGGCAACTAGTCACACCTTTCTATTCTTTTGCATACTCGATGTTGCTCCTTAGAAGGAACAAAGTCACTTGCTTTCAAACGGATTGTATAAGAAGGGCAACATGTTTTATCCATCTCAGGTTGGTAGAGGAAACAGCCAGATCGTCTCCAGCCTCGGTCGAGAAGAGCTAGAGGATACATAAACAAAGGCACATCAAATTTATCTTTCAACCCCACAGAAGAAACATTAAGATGCTGTCGGAAAGGGATCTGTACTGAGTTAAGGACATACATTAACTTCATCTCGCACACATTCCACCCTATAACTAATTCAACTATGAACATTTTGTCTTTGAGAATTGTTCATCATGGTCACACACACTTCCTGAAAGGGCGGAAGAAGGAATGCAACAAACCTTGGTAGTCATCAACAGTAAGACTCTCTGCCCATAAACCTGTATAGGGAATGGAAAAGAGACACTTGAGTTAATGACCGCCATTGCTAACCAAGTAGTTAAAGATATTTACTTTGCGCTCTTACGAGATCAGACAATGAAATAACAAAAGAAAATCAAGCAGTATTCACAAATTACCATCTGAAACACGAGATCACAATAAAAACACTTCATCATCTCGGCTTATTCTCGATAAGCCCATCTCTTTCTCGTTCATAAATCAAAAACAGGATCAGATCGTGAAATTCAAACATCCCAACCATCTAATCGCCCGATTGCTGATCCATTCAATACCCAAATCCAGGGACAACAAATAAAAACTGAGAAATGAGTCCAACACCGAAGAGACTGGACGAGACGAACCGTGAGATATACTGGAGCGAGTGGAGGATTTGCAGTAGCCGCAGGAACTCCTGCGGCGGCCCCA